TCTGGACTGGATCCAAAAAATCTGAAAGACCACTTAGTGTCTCCAGGAAAGGCTGGAAATTCTTCCCTCTAGGATTTGGGTACCCAGATCACTCCTGTGACTTTGAGCAGAGACTTCTCCATCTGGAACATGTGGGGAGTGATCCCAGTCCTACCACCCCTCAGGGTTGGCATAAGGGTCAAATAGGAGGAAGGATGTGAAGGGGCTGACTGTCCTTATAGACCAAGGCCACCTCTTTGTCCCCATCACCAGCCGTCACTCTTTGAACCTATGAGACAGATCAAGGTGAGTCATAATTCTGCTTTGTAACCCCCAACAGGGTCAGATTGTTTTATTTGTGGGTCCCCGCCATGCAGCACCCACTAGGTACAGGGTAAACACTGGATAGCTCTTTGCTCTTGTGCATTGTTTCAGGCCGTGGGCTATACACTTTGGAGCTTACTATGTGCCAGGGACTATTCTCAGTGCTTTGTATGTCTTGTTTCATTTAATCCTCATAACAACCCTGAGAGGTGGCTACTGCTATTATCCTCACTTCCTAGGTGTGGAAACTAAGGTATTCAGAGGTTGGCTTACCCAAGCTTGCACAAGTGAGTGGAGGAGTTGGGGGTCCTATCCAGGCTGTCTGCCCTGAAGCCATTGCACTTTACTGCCTTGTTGCATAGAGGATTATGTGAGTTTCTCACCACACTCTTCCCTGGTAGTTACTATCACCACTTGACAAATGAGGAAACTGAGACCCAGAGGGCTAAGTATCTTGTCTTAGAACACATGGTGGGTGAGTAGTAGAAGTAGCCCAAGCCTGTGTGATTGCAAATTCATGTTTTTTTGTTTTTTTTTTTTCAGTATGCCGGTGATTGTAATCATAGGTTACCATTCCCGGTCCCAGGCCCACCAAATACTTCTTTTAAATTTGGAGCTTGGATTTAAAAGCTAATGACTTGTTTAAATCTACAAAGGACACCTACCTTGGATCCTGCTCTGGTCTTTATTAGCCACACCTCTCTTGACAGGCAGAGGAGTTAGGACTGAGGGGATATTCCCACCAAGACCCTGCAAATTGCACTCTTAAGCCATGCCCTGGGTACCCAAACTCTAGAATTCCCTCCTCAAAGGAACCTTAACCCAACTTCAGGGCCTATATAGGCCAATTTCTTGGTCCGTCTTCCAAGAGGTGGCCAAAGAGTAGATGAAGCTTGGCCACGTGGTCTGGGTCATCCACATACCCGCACCAGGAGCCTCAGTGATGCAGGACAGAGGAGAGTGGGTGGGGAATTAAGGAGGATCTTGGATGAGGTCTGAGAACCAAGAGCTGGCAATCCTCATGCTACAATGTGCTGGGTAGAGCGCAAAGAATTCTCAGAAGTCTACATTCTGAATCTTGAAGGTCATTATGAAGTTGTATCTGCCAAGGAAGGGAGACAGACGTCTTTTTTTTCTTTTTCTTTTCTTTCTTTCTTTTTTTTTGAGACGGAGTTTCACTCTTGTCGCCCACGTTGGAGTACAATGGCACAGTCTCGGCTCACTGCAACCTCTGCCTCGCAGGTTCAAGCGATTCTCCTGCCTCAGCCTCCCGAGTAGCTGAAATTACAGGCGCCCACCACCATGCCTGGCTAATTTTTTGTATTTTTAGTAAAGATGGGGTTTCACTACGTTGGCCAGGCTAGACTCAAACTCCTGGCCTCGTGATCCACCTGCCTCGGCCTTCCAAAGTGCTGGGATTACAGGCATGAGCCACCATGCCTGGTGGACAGATACCTTTTATTTAAATGTTTGCTGGCTTGATTTTGTCAATTTTAAATATTAGACGTATGACACACAGGTTTCCATTTGTCACTTTGCCCCAGGCGCTGTAAATACTAGACATGGGCCTGTCCTTGTGTCTGGAATTTGCCGATACCACCTTTAAGGATTCATGCTGAAATTCACAAACTATGAAAAGATTCTCTTTCCATGAGGCTGTCCACACAGGCATTTATTTGAAGACCATTGCTGAGAGAAAAAAAAATCAAAATCTTGCTTTCGAGTCACACTAATAGTTCCTTTCCTACTAAAGTACTGCCTAGTTGACATCTAAGCCCATCAGGATGTAAGAAAAAGTGGTGCTAATATCAGAGCTGTCAATCAGTCTTGGGAAGAGATTAACTCCACCGGCATCAGCTAAGAGTAGGTAGAGAGACTTTGGAAGCAGACAGACTGAAGCAATTAATAAATTCGCAAAAAGGATTCTTTTACAGATGGAAGACTGAAAAAAATGGGTGATGACACCCATCTTCCAAGGAAAAGAATAGGAGACTAAGAAGGTTGTTTAATGCTTAAAAAATTATCCATTAGAAATCAATCTTGTGGCTGCACCCAGCCGATGGGAGAGTTGGGGTGCACGTTTTTGTGTACCAATCTGTCAACTCTCTTACTGTGGAAAAAGGGGAGAATGAGTATTAGGAAGCAAAGAGCTGTCTCTGTCCCAAAGAAGTTTATGGAAATGCTTAACACAATGCCCAGTTCACAGCAAGTCACCAAGAACTATTAGTGTCATCATACCAATAATCAAAAAGAGAAAATGGAAACTTTTGTTACTTTTTGTGAGACGATATCCAAACCCATAAAGACCCCAATTTTCACTGCTATTTTTCAGAGTTGAGCAAAAGCACAGATACGGAATTAGAAGTCCTGGGTTCACATCCCTTAGGCAAAGTGTTTAGTCTCTCTAGGTTTCAGTTTCTTCATCTGTAAGTTGGAAAAAATAATGTCTACTTCGTGGTGGTGGTTGTGAGCACTAATGAGAAAGGATGTACGTTAAACTCTATAGCAGAGTTTCTGGCACAAGAGTTGATACTCAACAAGTGTTTTTTCATCATTCTCTTCACTCATGTATTCATCTAACAAATATTAATCAAGCTCCTACTATGTGTTAAGCACCCTAGTAGGTGTTAGGAAGAAAATGATGAATATGATAGGTTGTTTCTGACCTCAAGGAGCTGTGTTACAGTTTAGTGGTACACAGGCATTAAACCCAGCTACGAATTATAATTAATTGTCATTGTAATAAATAGTATGAAAACAATATGAAGAGACTCTCAGTAGAGAGATGAATCATAGGTCAGGATTAGGGTGCTTATGGAGAAAAATGACCAGACAAATGAATTTGAGAAATAATTAAAATGTGGAATCAGTGAGTACAGGGATGATGTCTAAGCAATGGGTAGATAGGGATATCATGTATTGATGATGGAGAAGACGGAGGCAGGGATGTAGAAGAAAGTCCATGGAAGGAAAGAGGGAAGGAAGGAAGGAAGGAAGGCAGGAAGGAAGGAAGGAAGGATGGATAGATGGATGGACGAATGGACAGATGGATGAATGGATGGATGGCAGATGGACAAAGGAATGAATGAGGACTGCTTTATTAGACACATAGAAAAATAGAGAAATGCGTGAGAGTGGATAGATCAATAATAAGTCTTTGGTGGAGTATATGGGGTATATAGATAAAACTCAATAAAACAATACTGCATTATTTATGTAGGATTCTCTATTTTGGATAGTTAGAAGGTTTGGATATGGATAATGGGCATCACTAAAACATTGATTTTTGTTAAGAGTTAAAATGCCATAACATTTTTAATGTTAAAAGAACACAAAAATATATACTTGAGAATGAAACTGGATTGAACAAAACTGTATTTTCTAAAGACTTTAAATTACACACTTTCTAGCAATTATCATTCTTTTATACATTCAACATATTTCTGAAGACTAAATTGGAGGGTTGGAGGATACCAAGGTAAACCATTTGTGGTTTTGCCTTCAAAGGGTAGGGGACATAGGATTAACATATATGTGAAGATAACACGATGAGAATCATGAATTTAAGATAAATATGGATAAAACACTATAAACATCCTTTCATTCTTTTAAAATCAATACACAATAATTTACATATTTGTGGGGTATGTATTGGTGTTGTGATACATGTAATGTATAATGATTTAGATTAGGATAGTTAGCATAGCCATCATTTCAAACCTTTTTATGTGGGATCCTTTTTCTTATTTAATCCTCAAAGTAACCCTTAGAAATATGTAGCACAATTTTTATTACTATTATTATTGTTTGAGACTGAGTTTCGCTCTTGTTGCCCAGCTGGAGTGCAGTGGCGTGAACTCAGCTCACCGCAACCTCTGCCTCCTGGGTTCAAGCGATTCTCCTGCCTCAGCCTCCAGAGTAGCTGGAATTACAGGCATGCGCCACCACACCTGGCTAATTTTGTATTTTTAGTAGAGATGGGGTTTCTCCATATTGGTCAGGCTGGTCTCAAACTCCTGACCTCAGGTGATCCACCTGCCTCGGCCTCCCAAAGTGCTGGGATTACAGGTGTGAGCCACAGCGCCCGGCCTGTAGCACAGTTATTAATATCATTCTTTTACAGACGCTAAAACTGTGATGCAGGGAGGTCAAGTGACATGACAGAACCAGAACTTGAGCCTCCAATCTTCTCATCCACCCTCTCCCCTCTACCACACACCACCTATAAAGAATGAGAAAATCGGCCAGGCACGGTGGCTCACGCCTGTAATCTCCGCACTTTGGGTGGCTGAGGTGGCTGGATTGCCTGAGGTCAGGAGTTCGAGACCAGCCTGAGCAACATGGTGAAACCTCATCTCTACTAAAAATACAAAAACTAGCTGAGTGCGATGGCGGGCACCTGTAATCCCAGCTACTCAGGAGGCTGAGGCAGGAGATTTGCTTGAACCTGGGAGGCGGAAGTTGCAGTGGGCCAAGACTGGGCCATTGTACTCTAGCCTAGGCAACAAGAGTGAAACTCCATCTCAAAAAAAAAAAAAAAAAAAAGACTGAGAAAATCAGCAGTGAAGGTGGGAGGAGACAGTAGGATGGCCGAGGATGTGTCTCAATATGCACCTCTGGGGTAAGGCCTGTGGGAGAAGGGAGAAAAGAGTAAAACAGCCTGCATCCTTACTCAGCTGATTTCTTCCCCTTTACAGGTCAAAGTATTTCCATGGGAAGAAGGTGAATGGAGAGATTGAGATCCGAGTGGAGCAGGTAGGTGGGAGCTCGTCTTTAGCAGTGTCGTCTGACCTTTTCTGCAGCTGGGACTGTTCTTACATGCAATCTTGGTCCCCATCTTATGTGGTCATAATGAGCTAAGATTACCAGAAAAGTCCAAGCTTATACCTGGGAGTCTCATTAAATTTCAGAATTATTTGGGCCAGTGGTTTTCAACCTTTTATGTTTTAGCAGAGACCCTTTCTTCAAGGGAAATGTCAAATAGGAACTCATTCTACAAAAGAGAGACACGTAGAGCTGCTTTGATGGAAATGGGCAGGTGGAGCCCAACGTCTGTCTGTTCCATACTGCTCCTTTTGGCCCCTGGGGCATCTCCTTGCAGCCACCTGGGCTAGAAAGCATGGTTTAGGAACATAATGAAGTGCTTTGAATCCTGCCTCTCTCATTTTCTAGATTTTGGGCAGGTGACTTAATCTCTGTCTGCCTCAATTTCCTTGTATCGTTGTGGGGATTAAATTATTTAAAACCTCAGAAGGGATCAGAACCGCAAATACTATCTCTTGCTATAATAAGAAATATCCAGGTTTCTTATTTCATGTGGGAAGAAGCACAGATTTGTTTAGGGCTGTGTAGGGAGGCAGTGGCAGAATCAGGAGTAGAAGGTGTGGTTCCTGGCTCCAGATCAAAGCTTTCTCCTATTCGTTCAGCAAGGAACTCCTCTCTGTCAAACACTGTACTCAGCCTTAGGAGAGCACATTTGAGCATGGGCTCTGGAGCCATACTCCAGCTTTGAATCCCAACACCACCCGCTACTAACCTTGTGACTTACGCTCTCTCCAGCTCAATTTCTTCATCTGTCCAACTGGGGCAATAATAGCATCAGCCTGCGTTCATAGGGTGCTGTGAGGACTAAACGAGTTAGTCCGTGAAAAGTGCTCAGAACAGTACCTGGCACATACTGGGCACTTAGTAAATGTTACCCATTTATCGTCAGCATCATTATTCGTTATCCTCCTCCTCCTCCTCCTCATCAAAGGCAAACAGTAACTAACATAGATAAGGTCCTTGCTGTAAAAATGATTTCAAAATACAATTTTTAAAATAGGGGAGTATGACTGTTCTTCTCCCTGCACTTTTTGAGCTTAGTGTGTCAGAGAAACAGAAAGGTCTCCTAAGCATCAAACTGAGTTGGTTTAATATTAAAACACCTACACTTTGAATTTCAGTTTGATTCTGTGGCTTTCAAGTCAACCCAGTGTCTCCTGGTTTTCCTTCCATGGCAGAGAGAAGGTTATTTTTGTTCATTTTGCAAATATTTGTCAAGAGTCTACTATGCTAGCTAGCTAATATGTGGAGAACGAGTATATAGAAGAAGAGGCCCAGTCTCCAAATGCCTGTGGTCTAGGAGGAGAGGTGAGCTAAGTCTTTTGTTTTTCTTTTTCTTTTTCTTTTTCTTTTTTTTCTTCTTTGAGATGGAGTCTCACTCTATTGCCTAGGCTGGAGTGCAGTGGCGTGAACTGCAACCTCTGCCTCCCGAGTTCAAGCTATTCTTCTGCCTCGGCCTCCTGAGTAGCTGGGACTATAGGCATGTGCCACCATGCCTGGCTAATTTTTTTTTTTTTTTTTTTTTTTTTTTTTTTTTTTTAAATACAGATGGAGTTTCACCATGTTGGTCAGGCTAGTCTCGAACTCCTGACCTCAAATCATCTGCCTGCCTTGGCCTCCCAAAGTCCTGGGATTACAGGCATGAGCCACCGCACCTAGCCTACAGAATAATAACATTGATGATGGTAGCAAACTTTTATTGAACGTTTACTGTTTGCTAGATGCCATCTTAAGTGTTTTCCATGCAGTAACTCATTCAATCCACACAATTTGCCTGTTGCTGAGGAAACTTGGGCTCAGAGAGCTAAATAAATTGCCCAGGCAGGTCACACAGCTAGTAAGAATGCAGTGAAGCTGGGGTTTGAACTTACAGGTAGAAACCAGGGATGCGAGGTCCAAATTTAGCACTCCCAGCAGCAGAGGTCACAGTCAACTGAAAGACTCAGATGTGGCCTCGAGGAGGGAGTGGTGTTTGAAATAGATCAAAGGATGGATAGGATGTCAACAAGTGGAGATGGTGGCATGAAGAGTGTGTGAATGGAGGAGGCAGTGTGAGCAAAGATAAGGAGACCAGAAGTACAGGGTATGGAGTGACAGGGATTGCGGTGTGGTTCTCCAAAACAAGACACATCATCTTCCCCTGCACCCACCCTACTCCTCCCTAATTCTCTCTCTCAGTGAAGAGTGTGACCATCTACCTTCCACTTTTACCAGAAACCTGCTCCAGCTCCCGAATGTGTCCCTCTCTCTGTACCACTGCACCCATTCAATGACTGGATCCTGCTGACTCCACATCTGATATTTCCTAGTCCCTGCACTTCTCCCTTCATCCCCATCACCTAGATCCTTGGCTGGACCACCCTCAACTCTTGTCCAATCTTCCTCATCAACAGCCTCACAATTTCATGTTTTCCACCCATCTCCAATGTATTCTTCATACCAAAGCTAGAGTGATCTTCCTCAAAAAGCAGATTAGATCCTTTGAAGTGTTAGCTTTAAAATCCTTTCCTCAAAGACTCTTTCTCTGAGCCTTTTCCAAATTTATATCAGGTAACCTGGTTATTCCCTTTCATAGCTCCTCAACTTTTCCTTCCTGGCCCTTATCTGAGTTTTTAGCCATACATTTTGAGTGGGATGATTTGCCTGAGGGTAGAGACCATAACTGTCTGGATCTCACCCTAAGTATCACTGGCCCTGGCACAAAAGAGAATTGAAGGAAATATTTGCAGAATGAATAACTGATAGATTCTACAGATTCCAGGCTGCTTGTCAGTTTCCAAAGACGATAAGTCACCACTCACCACTTCTTTTTTTTTTTTTTTTTTTTTTTTTCAGTCTCACCCTGTCGCCAGGCTGGAGTGCAGTGGCGCAGTCTCGGCTCACTGCAACCTCTGCCTCCCAAGTTCCAGCGATTCTCCTGCCTCAGCCTCCCAAGTAGCTGGGACTACAGGCATCCCCCACCACACCCAGATAATTTTTGTATTTTTGGTAGAGATGGGGTTTCACCATGTTGACCAGGATGGTCTCAATCTCTTGACCTCATGATCCGTCAGCCTCGGCCTCCCAAAGTGCTGGGATTACAGGCCACCGTGCCCGGCCACCACTTGTTAATCTGCCCTCAAAACTCTGGGTTTTCCATAAACCATCTGGTAAATACTTGGTTGCCAGCTGAGCTCACCCTGCCTCATCCCATTTGTGGAAACCCCAGGAGCGTGTTTTAATTTTCCCCTTTTATCTCAGCAATGCCATTGGCCCAACTTGTAGGTACAAAATCTATGAGCAGGACCATCAGGGAATTGCCCTAAGAATAACTCACCCCGGGGCTCTGGGGCCCCTCGGCCTATGAGGTCTACAATCACACTGAAAAACCTTGGCTAATTTAGAGTCTTTCTGATTTCCAGCCATGCCCCTCTGTGAAAGCCAAAAGGTGAATTAGCCAGGAAACCAATTAGCAGGTCATTTGGGCATTTTTCCCCAGAAGACATACCTTTCCAAATCCATCTTGGAATCAGAATCACTTGTCTTTGCCCATCTGTGTCAATGGGTGGGACACATAAGTAACCCCCCCAGGAATCTCACATGCATCCTTTAGCACTTGGGAAAAGTCTCAGGACGGAAGCCACTGTTTAGTCTGAGCTGGCCTCACATTTTGGGATCCTGTCTCCCAACCAAGGGCCAAATTAACCAGATAATTGCACTGTCTGGGTTTTGCTGGACAGAGCGAATGAGTTAGTTGTGGTTGGCCTAGAGGAAGCCTCCACCCATTCTCTCCATCCTCTTCCCCCCGCCCCCCCTCCGAGTCTAAAAACTGCTTGCCTCAACTTTTACAGAGGAATCAAGAATCAAGAAACCCTGGGGAGGCCCGTGGGGGAGACAGCATCATTTTGCATTCTGTTACCCAGAATGCCCTACTGGCTCTGCAGGGCCCTCACAGCAGTATCCTAGTAGGGTCTGAGAGGATCAGGCCAGGATGGTTGGCATGTCAAACTCTGCTCTGTTTATATTTGAGGTAAAGGGTCTTTTTCTCCACAGGCACAAGTCACCCCTCTGTGGGACCAAGCAATGAGGTTGATGAATGGATTAATATTAAGTAGACTCACAGTTCTGGGACATCAGTGGGCTAGGACTTGCTAGGGTCTCAGTCTCTGATTTTTAAGAGAAGACTGAAATCACCACCGCTAGTCTTTCCTCCGTGTTAATGGAGGTACCAAGGCAGAAAGAACACTAATGCCTTGCTCTAGCAGGCGGAGAAAAAGGCAAGAGAAGGGTTTATACCTGCCCTTGAGCAACTCCCAGCCCAATGAAGGAAGCCAGATGACCCATGGATGTACATATGAATACTAGTTGCTCCTTTGAGTACTGTCCTTGTGTAATATTGGGTTGGGCTGGGGTTATGAAGCTGTCCAGGGGAGGCTGCTGTTGGGAGACTGTTCATCTTCTGCCCTTTATATATTTAACATCAATGTCTTCTGAATGGAAAGGTGAGATATTCCCCTTAAAATATTTTAAACACTGCAGACCCCGTATTTATATTTTTTTATATGCACTTCAGCCTTCAACCCACAATTCTTTCTGGTACAACATTTCTTAGAATGGACCTTAGCTGTAGATACTGACCATAAAGACCTATATTTCAAGAAACAGTTATCAACAAGATAGAGAAGTGGAGGTTGGATGTTAATTCAGTTTGGTGGTTTGGTAACAGGTTGAACATCATCCTCGTTAGGAAATGATACACCTTGGGAGAAATCTAATGGCTTGCCAAAAGGCTTTGTACTTGGCTTTGTTCTCCTTCTTACTAGTGACTTATGAAATTATATATGCTAATGACTTTTAACTAGACGGGAGAGAGAATACGCAGGATTAAATTTGATGTGATCAAATCGAATAGGAATACAATACAAAGTTGAGTAGGTGGTGGCAATTCCTGC